TGACAATGTTGTCATCACTGAATTGTCATGTGCCTCGAAAGCCATTCATTGGAGTTTTGACTGATCTTTACAGAAGCATCCAGTTTCTTGTTATATTCATCAAGGTTTAGTGTATATTCAGCACCTAGGACTCTGAAGTCTTTCAATAGGAGTCATAACCTTAAAAGATCCATTTCAGATTGTAGCTTCCCTCAACAACATAACAGCTTTTTCATCAGTGAATCTCTCTGGAAAGAGATCTCAGCAGACTTCTTGTCGAGATAACATCATAGTGGGCCAGCTCAAGCTTCCTCCAGCCTTCAACAGGCATCTCCAGTGAGAGGTGGAGATCTGATTTCTTGGGTGTAAAATACCCTTGAGCATTAAACTCAAACTTATCCTGGTTTCTTTCAATGACAAGAGAACATTCCATTCCATTCTCAATAGCCTGGTAATTGCCACTAATGACAACATGCTTAATGTCTACTATTGGGGTTACCAGTGTCAGGGTAAACCGAGTTGGCATTGAGTGAAATCTCAGCATGGAAGTCATACTTCTGACTATTCTTCTCAAATGAAGCTGAGACACTGTGTTTATTATTGAGGTAAGCGTAATCTCCGTCCATCTTCACAGATTCAAAACCAGCAAATGGTGTTTCAACTTCAACATGGAAATCGTTGTCATTGACTGTGGAGGTCAGTGAAATATGCTGGTTATTTCCTTCCTTCATAAGATTGGCTTCGGCAGTTTTCACGTCTCCAGTAAAGTCGTATTTGGCATCAACATCCAGGGATGTAAAACCTGGAATTGGCGAAGTTGTATGCAGCTTCACGAATCCTGTTTGTAGATCATTTGGCCTGTGAAATCTGCAGAATAAGTGATGTCATTCCTTTTGAAGGTAATGTGGAAATTCTTTTCTGTATCAACTAGATTAGCATCAAGAACCAGCTCAATATCAGCAGCATTTGCTAGAGGTGTCCTGATGCCAATATTCAACTTCGGCTTCTGAGTATTAAAAGCAATCTCCCCATTGAGATGATATTTGTCAGAACTCTTGGTGATCTCCACATTTCCAGACAGAAGGTTGTTAACCAGAGAATAGTCGCCATTCAAAGCAATCTTCTCCCAGCCAGAGATTGGTGTTGTAATTTCACCAGATACTGCAGTTTCTGTTACAGTGACTTGTATTTCAAATGTGCTGATAACTCCTTCTTTATTGTAAGTAAAAAGTGCCCTGTAAGGCATGGAGGTGAAATCAAAGTTTCCTTCCAAACTGACTGTTGTCCATCCAGCAATGGGAGTTGTGATCTTGGATTTGGCATAACCCTTTAGGGGACTATCAGCAGCTGCCTCTAACTGCCAGTGGTAGTGACGGTCATTGCGGAAAGCCTTCACTTCGGCAGTCTTGACAAGGTTTCTCAGGTCCCAGTGAGCTTCTCCACCAAGAGTTCTTACAGTTTCAAATGGAGTAATGATATTGAGGGTCATCTCAGGAGCTAGGATGTTGTTTGTCTTGATGTCTCCCTTCAAAGAGAGTTCTTGCGAGCCAAATTTGGCTTCAAACTCCACTGTTTTCACTTGGCCCTGTAAGCTGTAGCTTGTGTCAACAGCAATGGTTTCATAGCCAGCATATGGAGTATTGATGGTGAGATTGATCATTCCTTTGACTTTTCTGATGTGCAGTGTTCCTGTAACCTCAATCTTGCGGTCATTCCTGGACACAAAGGCTTTAACAGCAGAGCTGGAGATGAAGAATGAGGCCTTAAGGGTTTCCCATCCACTGAATGGAGTTGTGCCTTCAAAAACAATGGTTTGTCCTTCAAGTCGTCCAGAAAGGTTGATTTCCTTTGAGTTACGTGTCATCTTGAGGGTCACTTTCTTTTCACTACGGAAGTCATACATTGCTGAGATAGACATGTTGTCCAGTGTCGTAAGTGGTGACTGGAAGTCGATTTCAACACCAGCGTAGTTCTCCTGGTAGTTCCAACTGCTGACCAAACTTCCAGTTTTTCCATTCAAATCCATATTGATTTGGAATTCATCCACGTTGATCTTGCCATTTACCTGGTATTTCTGGGTGTTGAAAATTAGTACTGTATTGGCAGTGAAGGGCATGGCTTCAACATTGTACTCGCCACTAAAACCAACTTTTTGTACAGCTTCAAGAGGAAGGTCCATCATAAGAGACCATTTAGCTTGTTTAAGGTGACCAGCAATGACTCCTGTTATCTCATACCTCTGTCAAAATCAAGCGCCAAGTTCACTTTCTTTCGGCTGAAATGATGTCATAGAACACCTCCAGAGAAACCGGTTTGGTAAGATATGTAGAATCGATATGCAGCTCACCATCTACCTTTCCTTGTTCAATTTTTCCTGTGATGTCAATAGTAGTTCTGTTGGTCCACGGTTAAAACAAAGTAGCAGTCTTCCTTGGCTGGAAGTCAATGTTTGAGTTTGTATCCCATTGGCTGCCAGAATGGTGTTGTAAGAGTGGATGCAGTGTAGAAGAATGATGAATCGCATTTCAGAACAGAGGCAACTTCAATCTTCATTCCAGGCCTGTACTCAATGATAAGTGTTGGTTTGTACTCAACACCATCATCTTGGTGGTGCAAATCAAGTTTCATGTCCTCAGTCCAAGGAGTGGAAAGGGAGACCTGGGCATCAATCTGACGGGTATTTCCAGAGATCTTCTTGTCGAAAGTTCCTTCGAATTGCACAAGTTGGCGATCCCACATGTACTCAAGTTGGTGTTTGTACAGAGAGCCAGCATGCATCTGCTTGTTTGCTTAATTTGTAGACTCCATTCACAATAAAGGAGTTTTCCCAGTTGAACCAATCATTGAAGGTAATGGTATGGTCAATAACAACAGATTTTGTTCCCTTCATGAGAACTATGTTGGAAGTTCTTGTGTTGTCATCCTTCTTGCTATCGATGCTGACTTTTACATCATCTAGGCCACTGAAAGTGGAAAGTAACTTCAGCTTCAATGTTTGCCAAGCTCCTAGACACATCCAGAAGTCCACCCACAGACACATGAATACGTTCAGAGTTGAAAATGACATCAACTGAGGAATCCATCTTGGTGTTAGTGACAGTGTGCTTGAAGGCGATTGATCCCTTATTTACTGGGCTAGAAACGTCAACCTTGAATTCTACATCATTCTTGGAGAGCATGTGTCCTTGAGCGTGCACCTTGACGCTACCGTATGTAGACCAGATCCTGGTCATCTCGAACTGTGATGTAAAAGGCTCCATGTCATGGTGTGCTTGAGAGATGCTGTCCAGAGGGTAAGTGAAAGTGAGTGATGGAAGCGAATACGTCTCCAGAAAATGTTTCGTAGTGTCGCCAACTGACGGTCCTTTGGCCCCGCTTACATTAAGCATGATTTTCCTTTTCCGCCAATCTTACCTTCAGTGTCAAGTTTAAGACTTTCTCCAACTCAGGGAGTACTTAAGTATTGGCATTTATCTCAGGGATAACAAAAGGGTGTCTCAACCTGACATATCTATAGTGAGTCAGTGTACATGTTTATCTGTAAGGTGCGCAGCGAGTGACCTGTGCAGCTAAGCGCTAGATCTCTTGTCCTATGAGATTTCTACTTATTATATTCAAATTGTTGCTAAGAGACATATCTTGCTTCGATATTGTATGTGATTCCACTGAGTCTTACCCAGAGTATCACTATAGCGGAGTCTCTTGTGATAGGGACGTGAAAGCGTAGCTCGAGCATCGTGACACCACCTTGTGATTTTAATAAGAAGAGGAAGGCTCTGTGAATTCCCTGGCATTAATCTTTCGAATACATTAAATTTCGCAAGTTTAATGCGAATTCGCTAAAATAAAGAAAAAGATGAATAGTGAGTCAACACAATGTTATGATCCAGAAGAGAAAATCGATACTTCTCTATATTAGATAAATCAAATGGCGGACTTGTGTCAAATTTAGCAACTGCGGTAGAACAATGAAATTGGTAAAAAGTCCAGGTGTTACTTGCCAGTGACAATAAGGTGCCATAGCATAACAGTGTGATAATCTCACATAATAGATTCAAGCGAAAATTGATGATAAAAATATCTGTGCTTGCTAAGCGTCATATATTTCACTCCTGATGGACATCTGGAAGAGTATCAGCAGCATGATTTTCCAGGAATAGTAATGGAGAATCTGCAACTTGGTATTTGCAGCAGAAGAGAGTATTAGAGCCATAGAGTGAACATTTGACGAAGAAGATGCTCTTTAAGATCAAACCCATATGGATTTGAGCCACCGGCCACGAGCGACACTGTTCTTAATTTCGCCCTTTCTATATAGGACATGGAGAGGTGTTTTCCCTGCACCGGCCATACTTGGAGAGTGAGAAATCCGATCGAGTTAATAATCTTACGGCCTCGCTAGACACCACGTGATATAAAGTATTACAGGGCTTCCTACCAAACGGAGTAAATCATTAACAGCCATCTGGCCTTCGAACACACTCGTGATCTCCTCTAATCACATACTGTCATGACTATATATATATCCCTATAACTTATTACACTTTAATTATATACTTGAATACCGCTTCCAGATTTCGCCAAGCTAAACTGCCTCAATTGACGAAATCCTTTTGCGCCCCAGTATCCACATCCTGTCCCACTCCACAGCAGCTTAACTATTGTAAGTTTCCCAATGTTCCTTGTACTGTACCTAGTGTTATGATGGGAAGATATTTGATATGAGATCAAATACATTATCTCATTATTCTCTCTGGAATATGAAACATATTTTCAGAATCCACCAATGAACTACAGGGAAATAACATCATATCTTATCTCTTGGCACAACAAAAATGTGTTGACGATATTTCTGATTCTATACGAGAAGGAATGCGGTGCCCTCAAACTTGCCATTCGTCGTCGTTTGCCGCGCATTAATCTTGATACTTAACATTGCCCCTTGTCCTTCGTCTGCATAGAGTACCCAGGGGGATTTCCACGTCGAAGTCGGTACCGTCTTGATAGCAATCCATGCGATAAATGGGGTTGGATTTACCGCGCCACGGAGTTATCTTTAAAGCTTCCTTCCAAAACCATTTCTTTCTCATTAATGCCACCGATTACCTATAAAAAAATCTCCTTTTTAATGATTATAATGTGCGTATGCTGTGAGCGTTGCCTCTCGTCTTTATCCTAGTATGTGTTGGTTGCTCCACATATACCACACGTACTATCTTTCTCATATTCCATCCTGATACTCCATTATTAATGTCATATATAGAGATAAATAGATATAACTATATAGTAATTTAACATATATATAGCAATAGTATCTTCTGTCCTAATATCCTCTATATCTCTCATTATATCCTAATCCTTAAATAATGTATATATACTATATATATATGTACTAATTTATAATATATCACGCTATTCAATTATATATTAATCTCATTATCATCTGGTCGCTCTCTCTGTGTTAGTGTGGTGTGTGTCGTCGTGTGTCGTGTGTGTGTGTGTAACCATATATAATATAATAGATTATCTCACGCATCTACTCTATCATCGTCTATCCTATACTATAATAATCTCTTACTATCTTACTATACTTATATATACTCTTTAATATATATCATCTATATAATATATTTATATATATTTCTCTCTTTCTCATTACGTATATAGTATCGTATGTACTATTGTATGTAGTATGATATATAACCAATATTCCTGTATAGTCTTATCATCAAATACATATACATTTATACATCTATATATATATATATATATATATATATATATATATATATTAAATATAGTATTGCCAAAGATATATAGTGTACATTAACTATAAAAAAATATATATTAAGATTATACATAGATCTAATAACTCTTGAAAATATATTATACATATATATGAATATAATGTACATATATAATTTATCTACAGTATATGAATCTTTATATATAATACATCATACATACATACATAATATATCCAATTATCTAACTATTTATATATATATTATATATTATATTTTTGTATCACTATATATAAATAATATATATAGTATTATAGAAAACTATTATATTATATATAATATATAATGTTACACACATATATATAATCATACATAATAGAGAGTATACATATATACAGCACATTATATATACAGTATATTATACATATATATGAGAGAGTAGTTTATATTACTATTACTATATATGATATAATTTATATATTATTCCATTTATTATATTTATAATATATATATCTATATAATATATACTATTCTATAACTATATATTTAGTATGATATCTACTGAAATGAACACACACACCACACAGACCAATATATATATATAAATCTATATACCACTTTTAATATTAAAAATTTATAATTAAATTACTTTATTATAAATATAATAATTATTTTTTACTTTTTCGTTTGTGGCCTCTTTTGGGCGTTTTTTTTTGTTCTGGGGGTGGGGTGTGGTGTTCTTGTGTGCTGTGTGCGGTGGTGTGGTGTGTGTTATTGTAACCACACCACACACACACATATATATATAATACAATATATCTATTATTATACTATATATATATATATATATGTATATATATACACACGCATACCCATGTGGTGTGTGTGTGTGTGTGTGTGTGTGTGTGTGGTGTAACATATATGTGTGTATATATACATAAATATATAAATGTGTGTCAGTATACACAAGCACAAACAAAGGAAATTGTACACAGACATGGAAATGAAAACAGCCGAAGTAAGAACAGAAAATATATGTTACGTTTCGAATTCTTCACGTTCCTCTTTAGACGAATAATTAACCAAAATGGATCCATTTTCGTTAACCGTTCGTCTGAAAAGGAACTCTTGAAGTGGAAATGTAACGTTTATTTTCTATTCTTACATTTTCATTTATATATATATATATATATATATATATATATATATATATATATATATAATATATATATACATATACATACATATAACATATATATAATATATATATATATATATATATATATATATATATATATATGTATGTATGTATATTCATGTATGTGTGTCTGTGTGTATGTGTGTACATGTATATATGTATACATATGTAATTATATATATTTGTATGTTTGTGTGTTGCGTTTTGTGTGTATGTATATGTATGTTTTTATATTTGTACACACACACATATGTATGTATGTATACATACATACATATATATATATATATATATTATATATGTATGTATGTATATGTATGTATGTATGTATATAGACACACACACATACACACACACACACACACACACACACACACACACACACACACACAACACACACCACACACACACCACACATATAATATATATATATATATAATCTATATTTATATGTGTGTGTGTGTGTGTGCGTGTGCTCGCGTATGCGTGTATTCATTTACACACACACACACACACACACACACACACATATATATATATATATATATAATATATATATATAATATATAATTGTGTGTGTTATTGTTGTGTTGATGTGAAAAAAATGACAAGTACTCACTTGAGCTTTGTAGTGGCCAGCCGCGATCTTATTGAAAACAAATTCAAGGGAAGACTTCAGGTCCTCAGCCTGCACGTTGATACGTCCGAGTGTTTCGACGTCATACTGATGACTGAATTCCACTAGGATGACCTGTTCTCTCCCGGAGACAGTTGGAAGTGATAGTCACCCTTCAGGTGATTTGGAGAGAACTCCAGTGCAAAGGAACCAGAGGTATCGATCTCATAGTGTGTGCAAGCGACTGTCCAGTGGATGTTCATATCGCGGTGACCATTGTTATTGGCGTAGGATACCACTTCATTGACGTTCCATGTGGCAGGGCCATGGACAAGCTTAGCGTTGTTTTCCATGCGTCCCTTTGAAAGGACGATGTTCTGGTTATAATCTAATGTCATTTCAGGGTACTGTGGGGAGACGTCAAAGACAATGGTGTACTTGGAGAGGTCCTCTGTGGTTTCCTTCTTGAGAAGGGCAGAATGGTGGACCGTCTGTTTGGCCTCTTTCATAATACTGTACTCTGCTTCCACCTTGGATGAAAAGGAAGTTCTCACCATAACCAAACTCACTCTTGACCAATGTGTCAATGATTGGTGTTTTCAGATCAACGTTCATGGCAACAGAGTTACTTTCGCCCTCAAACGATGCTGTAAAAAGAAAGTAGACAGGTTTCAACATCATCCATAAAATGATATACAATAGATCGATTAATTTGTTTTATCAAACATTATTCATGCATCATTAGACCTTATTTTCTTTGATATAAACCTAGAACTTACCGTGTACAATGATGGGGGATGCAGTCATCTCCGAGATGGTAACATCAGCAACATATTTAGCAGCATCCGTGTTGGCCTGGAAGTTTCCTTGTACATTCAATACTTGACCAGTAGGGGAAGTGAGAATGAAAGATGGGACAAGTGTCTTGACTGTTTTTCCGCTTGTACGTAGACCAGCCTCTAGCATGTATTGTTGATTTTCATCAACAACGAGTGCCAGCTTAGTGTTCTTGTTATTCTTCTGCCAGAGATATTCGCCACTACCTTGGACTGATTTAAATGGCGTGTGAAGATCAAAGCTGATTGCTTTAGCAGCCTTGGTAATAGTAAGCAGGACTTTACGATCTGTTTGTGATCCTGGTGTGTCAAACAAGAAAACAAACTGATCATCTTCGTGAGTGAAGCGCAGGACATATCCAGTCTGAGTGTTTGTCTTCTTGAAATGAACACTTGTTGCAAAAGGTCCTGTGAAGGGGAAGCTTGGGCCATATTCCGAGCAAGGAGCGTAGCTGTATTCACCACACAAGGCAACGCCACTGACTCCACTAGTGCAGCTCTCTTCTTGGATGAGGTTTGCAACTTCCTTTCGGATCTCTTGATCATCTTCCAGGTAGAAGAACTCGGTCTTGACATTGATAACTTCCATCTTGTCCTTGGGTGTGTTGAAGGCAACATCGACTAGTTTACCACCATTGATCTGAAGCTTGCCATCAAGGAATGTGGAGGTGTGAAGGTTGGAAGACATCTTCAGTCCAGTGCGAGACACGTGGGCATCGACGAGCATAACGCCATCAATTTGAACTGCGGCCGAAGGATGGAGGTGTCCTTCAATGTTTATATTCTTGAGACTACGAGCCTTGAAGTTTCCATTCATCTTGAGTCCAAGGGTAGCTGTTCCCTTTGCAGTGAGGGTCACAGGTAAACCAGTCACAGTAGGAATGGTGTGGTGAGTGTCCATTAGCTGGTGGTAAGATTTTGTGTAATCAACATCTCCCTGACGAGCCAGATTCATCAAGAATTCCAGTGGGTTAGAAGCACCGGATGTTTGGATGAGGTTTTCAAGTCTAAGAAGTGGTGGTAATGAAGCTCATTGCCAAAAACTCGGAGGTAGTAGGATCCCTTCGGTTCATCAGTTATGTGGTCAAGGAAGCCTTCAAGCGTGGTGGCATCAGCGTCACTGTTCTGTCGCATATTCCTTAGGATGGTTTCAATGGTTTCCTCTGGGTAATATCCTCTAGGACCAAAGAAGCGTTCAATGTAAGCCTCAAAACCTTCGATTCTTCCACCAACCTCAAAGAAGTTGATAGACTGTCCAAAGAGGTCGAGGGTGAGGTTCAGCATTGCAGAACGTGGCAGGTAGGACTTGCTGGAGAAGATGACATTGCTTTCAACTGAAGCCCAGTGTTGATTTCATTCATGAAGAAAGAGGATTCATAGTTGCGAGAAAAACTTGAGGGCTTCGGTACTGAACTTTTTCTGGAGAAGTTCCTCGCCAATCATTTGACGAGCCACTGTTTTTCTGGAGCAGCTGATTCCTGCTGTGGTCTCATATGAGTC